AAACTATAGTACCTAACCACCAATCTAAAGAGCCTTGGGAACTCTATGGTGGCAAAAGTATGTAAACCTTTCACAATAAATCTGGTAAAAGTCGTGAGGCACTCATCTATTCTCTCTGTGGTCATGTTGCCTTTACTCACTGAAGTAAACAGAAGTACCAGGAGGCGGTGTGGTGCTTTTTTAACATCTGAAATGTAATGTAAATGGATACTTTCCTTTGGATCTGTAAATGGAATCTCAAAATGGAGATCATAAATGGATCTCTTTATGGTTAATTACTCTTGAAATAACCCATTAAAAACAACAACACTCAGTTCCCAACCCTAGTGTTATCTCTCTTGTCTGTTCGATTCACTTGAACAAAGCCAACGCTGCTCGCCCGTCAGAGTCGTCCACGGGCACCGGAAGTGAAAGTAGACTTACTATTGTGAACTGAAACGATCCATTATCTACATTTGCATGATTGCTGAAACAGGTGCTGCACAAGGTGAGAGAAATCAATCGTGGTTTCTGAACCATGCTGGGGTGCGTTTCCCAAAAGCATCGTTAGCTAACTATGGTAGTTAGTTCCATTGAACTCTATTGGAAACAACTGAACTTGCAACCATAGGTTAGGTTAGGTTAGTCAAAAATCCAGTATCTCAAAATATTAGAATATTTCCTAAGATCAATCACAAAAAGGATTTGCAAAACAGAAACGCTCAAGTTGTTTAAAGTATGTTGATTTCTGCACTCAATACTTGTTCGGGGCTCGTTCAGCACAAACTCCAGCATCAGTGAGGAGTGCATGAAGCGATCAGCCTGTGGCTCTGCTGAGACACTATTGAGCTTCAGCTCGGATCCACTTTCTCATCTTTCTCTTGAAAACATCCCACAGACTCCATATGGGCTTCAGGTCAGGCATGTTGGCTGGCCAATCAAGCACAGTAATATCATGGTCACTGTGGGCAGGTGCTAAAGTCCTGCTGGAAAAGGAAATCAGCATCTCCATAAAGCTTGTCAGCAGATGAAAGCATAAAGTGCTCCAAAATCTCCTGGTAGATGGCTGCATTGACTTTAGACTTGATAAAACACAATGGAGCAACACCAGCAGATGTCACGCACCCAAATCATCTCTGACTTCAGAAACTTCACACTGGACTTCAAGCAGCTTGGATGCTGTGCCCCTCCAGTCTGAAAATGAAATGCAACATTTACTTTTATCTGAAAAGAGGAGTTTGGAGCACTGAGCAACAGTCAAGTTGTTTTTCTCCATAGCCCAGGTGAGATGCTTCTGGTGTTGTTTCTGTTTCAGAAGTTTTCCTGAAGACGTACGAGCGTGGTGACTCTTGATGCACTGACTCCAGCTTCAGTCCACTCCTTGTGAAGCTCTCCCAAGTGTTTGAATCGGCTTTGCTCAAGTTTTTGGTTTTCTCAAGCTTGCGGTCATCCCTGTTGCTTGTGCACCTTTTCCTACCCAATTTCTTCCTTCCAGTCAACTTTGCATTTAATATGCTTTGATACAGCACTCTGTGAACAGCCAGCCCTTTCAGTAATGACCTTCTGTGACTTACCCTCTTTGTGG